CAGGAGAGCGGGCAAGAAAGATCTGTTCTGCCTCTCATATCTGTCACTCTGGTAGATGTGCTGGTATCTGGTAGATGCACCATCATTTTCTTCTTACCCACACCTGCACAGAAAACTTCTCTAGGCTGCTCATTTGTTCTGTCATGGTGCCAAAGACACAAGCTTAAAGGCCTTCCTGGTGCCTGGACTGAGGCACTGCAGCTGGTCCCACACTGTGTGTACAAGCAATGTTTGGGGAGGAGGGGAATAGCAGCAGGGACAAATAATTATTAGCTATATAAATAATGGAATTAATTAGCATCTGGTTTCTGAAACGAAGCCATACAGCAACCTGGTCCTGATGCTTAGAAAGCCAAAGGCATCGAGTAACATCAGAGAGCTGCTCTGGTGAATGCCATGCGCATACAGAAGATGCTTGCTCCCGTACAGAAATATGCAAAAACCAGTTTTGTTCTTGCACGAAGAAGCACAAACACTATCCGCATGTGATGCCCTGGCAATGAACTCGGGATGAAATAGGGAGGCTGATAGGTTTTAGAATAAGGGGTTTCGTGGCAAGAAGGGACTGTGGTGATCTTCTGGTTCACCCTCCTGATTAGCCTGGGCCACGAAGGTGGTAGATCTGTCCCTCTTTATTTCCAAGGACTTGGATGCAATGTTCTAGATGGTAAAGCTGGCTTACACTTTCCTGATACAAGGATTCAACCTCTTTGTTTTGCATGAGGAATATGAGAACACAAGTGTATTTATATACTCTTATCTAAATGTACCCCCACGCACACACATACATTAGCGAGAGCTATCTGGATAAACACAAACCTGTGTCATGTCTCTCTGTGAGTGACCCTAATTTTCCCCTAGTCCCTCCACAATTGCTGTGATTCTTGTTCTTGTCCTCTTGCTCCACAGAGGGTCAAACATCCTGCATCTCATTGTCCCTTCTGTCTCTTTAATTAGTGCCCGTCCTCCCCCTTCTCCCCCTCACTCCAGTGTCCCCCCTTCCTGTCTCCTCTCAGCACTTGGTTTGCAACGCTCTATTATTTCACCTTTCACTTGTGCTGCCTCTTTGCCTGGGCCCGTCTGACACCTCTGCCTTACGCTTATCATGGAAACATAACATTTAAATACAAATAGAACAGAGAATAATTTAACCCCTATTTGCACTGGGGAAGGTGCCGAGGCTTCATATAAACACAGCCGGGGAGATTTATAGACTCTGTATATTTATCTGACAAGTTGCATTTCTTCACCACCGTGCCTTGCAGCCAGCTTTTCCTGATGGGCACAAGCCTCTGCAGCTGGCAGAGTGGCCAAGAAGAGGGGAGCCTGATTTCATGGGGATATTGAAAATGTCACCAAGGGGACATCTCTGGGGACTCAGGTTTGCCTTTGCTGTGGCCTTTCTCTCCCTACCCATCTTCCTGGGAGGAGCACAGAATGCTACAGTCTCCTGTTTTTTGTTGATGGCAAAATGGTGTAGACTTGGGTTGAACTCAGTTTTCAATATTATGGGAGTGCCTCAGGGCCTGGTCTGAAGGTTTTTTTTACCCCTCAGTGCCACAATCTGGGCTTGGCAATGGAGGTCACAGTGGGACTGAGTCTGCCCAGTGGTCTAAAATTCAGATGTGGCTCCTGAGACACATAGATTTGGGATAGTGTCTCTCTGAAAGAGGAGGAAGCATGGGACTCATAGGGGTGGTATGGGTGGTGCGGATGGACCCTACACCCTACAGAGCTCAGGGACAGCTTGATTTGGGGACTGCTCCAGGTTTGTGTGTGACCTAAACCTCTGGTTTCTGTAGGATATAGAGTGGTCTGAGCGATGGCAGCAAGTGTTTGGCCACAAGGTACTGCCCTTAAGTCCCATTCAAGGACACTGGAAAAATCTGGCGTGGAGCACCCGTGGTGTGCACACCTACTCAGACACATCCCACTGACACCAGCACATCCTCTCTTCATTTTATTCTGGCAGTCTCATGTCTTGTTCAGACATATTTGCAGCACAGGAGTAGTTGACCCGGTGCATGGCATGTCAGCTTTTTGCCTGGGACTTGGAAGAGCAGAGTGTTGGAGGCCTCAGGGTGTAAGAGGCATATACTAGCCCATTAGAGGATAAACTCATTAGGCAAGACCTGGAATGTGCTGATTGGTCCCAGCTGCTGAACCCTTCCCTTTCTCTTCCCACCAGAGATATGTGAGGGGCATTGTTAGAACACACTGCTGAGCTCCCTGGCAGGGCTGGGATGTGAAAGGTAAATGCAGCATTTGTTAGAGGAACCTCTCAGAGAAAAAAAAAGCTTGTTAAACTGCCTCATTTTTATCAGCTGAGTGTGTGATTGTGTAGATTTCTGAGACAGCAGATGTAACAAATGATTCCTCTGACAGCCCAAGGCACAGTTTTTCAGGAGGGAGACAGGGCACTGATTTGGAGACAGGGCTGGAGGTGATGTCCAGGCAGCTCTAAGCCCTGGCTGGTCATGGAGAATCTCTTCATCCCACCTCCCCTGGAGTGGCTGGACCAGCAGCCCCTGGGGAAGGTGGTCTTCACATTTGGCAGAGCCTGTTCCTGGTGGTCTGATGGCCACCTTGTGGACAGCTCACCAGAGCACCACACCTGCTAGCCAGCTCTGGGGACAGGCATCACCACTCTTAGTGTCCTGAAGACATGCAGAAAAGGGGGCTAAAATAATAATAAAAATTAAAAAAAATATATATAAAATTAAGTGGTTTCTAAAGCATCTGGTTTAAACTTCACATAAACTAAACCAGACAAGGCAGTTTCAGGCCAGTTCCACACTAGAGAGTTTTGCTGACAGAGGAGGGATGTGATTTTTTTTTAATGATACATTTATATTAGCAAAAAGCCTGGTGAAAATACAGTTACATAGCTATAGGAGTGCTTTTGCTGATGCAGCTTATTTCAAACAGGGGAAACTGTATAAAGTACAATATAACAGATGCTTTCTCTGTGCTGGATGTATTTACTAGACACAAACTTTCTAGGCAAAGCTTTTTTGCTGGTGGCATTCTCAGTTCATTCCCACTGCTCTACCCTCTCCCTAAAATATTTCCCATCTTCCAGGACAGCTGATCTCATTTGCTGGGTGGGTTTTCCTCCAATATCTGGAAAACCATTGGAGCTTGGACTGGAGTCTTTCACCAAGGCTTTGTCTAGACTGAGAGGAACCCCAGAGTGTACACTCAACTTTAGTAGCTGGCTCACAAAGGCTTATGCCTTTACTCTGAGGATTTCTTTTGCAGGTCAATTTGGTGATAATGAAAAAAAATCTTTCAGATGCCCAAAGCACTTTCTTTTGAGCCAGAGACAACCTACGTGGTGTTGGTTAAGGATCTGTGCACCATTAAAGCCTGAACTTTGTGTTGCCAGTAAAGATCTAGAAAAGTCCCTTTGTTTAATCAATTCCAACATAAAGTAGGTGCATTTCTTGCTTCTGATATGTCTATCCCCATTCTTTTTCCACAATCAGAAATGCACATGTACCTTCCTCTACTTATTTTTCCTACCATTTCAGCAGCCTAACTGAAGGCAACATAACTCCTCCTGTTCAGTGGGCAGTACACTCTTTGTTCACGTGGATAACTCCACTGCAGGATTGAAAGCTCCAAATATCCTCACTCAATATCCACTGCATGAAAAATTATGCTCATCCAAGGCTGTAAAGTAATTTGCCAATTTGCAGGTGCATCTTGAAGAGGGGAATTTTGATCAAACACTGGTTGAAGCAGAACAGATTGCCTACACCAATGATTTCTCGGTGAACAAAAGTGACATAAATCGCCCAATTAGTCAGCCAGGAAAGGGTTGTTGCAAACCAATATTTTGTTCAGCTTTAGGTTAACATGTGCATTAAAAATAAATAAATTAAAAAATCAAACTATTTATTTATTTATTTACATGTATTTATTCAAATTGGTTACATCTGCTCTGTAAACTGCTCTGAAAAAACCTCTAGGTTCACACATTTACATAGTGTTTAATGAATGATAAATAAGACATTTATGAATCATGTGCAAATGGCCTGTTTACATACACAATGTAAACTACGTAATTTTTTTTTTTTTTCCTTGATGTAACGGTACTAGTCTCTAAACATCAACCTGATCTAAAGGCCTTACTTGGTGCCCTTTGAGATGTTTCTACCAACTCAGCAATCATTAGTTTGATCTGTTTTCACCAGCATTTTCTGAAGGTGTTTCATTCAGGACTTAAGATCTCCATATTTGGTATAAGTCCAAGCATAAATAGCCTTCCTCATTCAAAATACAGTTATCTACTAGCATAACATGTCCTACTTTAATATGAAATAACACCTGCTTGAGCTATCATCTTGGATACAAGTAATCATATAAGTTAACTTTGTTTCAAAAAACAATATATGTTCAAAAAACTTTGGGTTTATTTCAAATGAACGTTAAAAATACAACTTGTAGATATATGCCTCTGAGTGGATATGAATGACAAATCTCCATTTACAGACTATGGTATATCCTGTTTTAAAAAACTTACGTTAAACATTTTTATCCCACAGGTTACTTAGTGTTGTGAGGGCAACTAACTTAACGTTATTTTTCATTTGGACTTTCTTTCTATATGCTATCTTTATCCACATCCCTCTTGGATCGCAGTCTGAGCAATGTTGTCATTTCAGTTACTGCAAGTTGAATGCAAAAATTGATCAGAAAAAGCTCATTTGGAAGACTTCGGTGCCTAGATTCTGAGAGGCAACTAAAGAATTTATATATAACCAAACCTTTTTGGTTTGGTTTGTTGGTTTTTTTAAAATTCCCAGATTATTTTCTAGTACTCACTGAAAGTCAGATGCTATTAAGGTTTTTTTGAGCCAGCACCTGAAATGACCAGCAGCTTCTGAAATATGTCACCTCAATGAAATCACCATTTGTTTTGCATGTGATACTGAGCCATCTTGGCTTTCACATCTCTCCTGAAATATGGTAAGCATCTCTTTATTTTGTTCCAGAAGACAGAAAACTCTTTGTGGGCATGCTCAATAAGCAGCAGTCGGAAGACGATGTGCGCAGGCTATTCGAGGCCTTTGGCAACATTGAGGAGTGCACGATCCTTCGTGGACCCGATGGCAACAGCAAAGGTAAGGTGATGGCTTGCAGCACACTCTGGCTTTGGTGTCAAGCTGGACCCTTTCTCAGTGTATATGTCATTTTCTGGTGTGACGATCACTAGGTAGCCTCCAGGACACCATCTCTTATATTAGGAGGGGTCACAGTTGCTAAGGGAAGCCATTTCTTTGCTGGTCACTGTCTCTTTGTCCATGAGAGGAAAAGCTGATTGCACTTAAAACCACATTCCTCCTGCAATGAACTATGTCTTGTCGCGCACAAGCTGATGCCTGTTGCTGTTGGCTCACAGGGCTCCCCTCTGAATACAGGTCCCTCACTTGCGCTCAAGATATGCCCTCCCCACCCCATTGAACATGTCAAATTCTTTCTTTAACCAAAGCCAAGGTTGCTACTTTACATCTTGACTCGCCAGCTTATTTCTCACCCACTAGCCCCAGGTCTTCCCTTTCTTCAGCTGGTCATTGCATAGGTACACACCAGCCAGTCATTATAATTGCAAGGGTACAGGTGCTGATTTAAATATTACACTCAGTGTGCATTTAGTGGTTGAAACATGCAAATACTTCATTGCAAGACTAGATGCCTCACCTCTTTCTGCTACTTTTTGGCATCACTTGTTACCTGGGTAACATAAAGGAACATTTTCTACAGCCCAGGTGTAAGAATGAGGCTTTTCTCTTGAATGTGAGGGTCATTTTTTTTCCCATCACTCTCTAGACAAAGTAACTTCAATTTGAATAGGAAGCCCTCTTGTCTTGACAGTATAATATGTCCATTAAATATTGATCTGCATATAATATATCATAAACTGTGCTGGAACGTGCAGCACTAGGGAAGAGAGCAGTCTTGCTGACACAGTTCATATCTCACTGGATATTTTGACATGTGACAACATCAACCAGCATATTTTTGTAACAGGGAGGCAAAAAATCCAAATCACAGGGATACACTGGAGAAAGATATTGCTATTCCACAAAATCACTGGTGGCCAAAATAGACTTCAGACCAGCATTATAGGGCAACTGTTTGATGTGAGTCAGCAAAGCTCAGCCTTCCTGATATAAATGGCTAAAATCAGTTGTGGCCACCTTTCTCCAATTGTATGGCTACTTCAGTTTCATGACACCCAAAGGCAGTGCTGGCCCACTGGAAAGTGGTAGGCTAGGTTGCCCTAGAAGAGCTGCAACCATCAGAGCAGTAGGCAGTTAAGCACACCATGCACTGAACAAATCAGTAAATTGGGGAAAGCAAAAAAAATAAATCTGTCTGCCTGCACCTGGAATTGTATGGAACAAAATCTAATGACAAAGGAGTTAAATAGAGTAATAATAAATGCAATAATGCCTGAGATCTGTAAGAAACAGGTTCCAAAGGAGATCCAACCCACAGACTTGTATTCATACTTGCTCTATCTTTTTCTTTTTTTTTTTGTTAAACAATTTCATTGTAAGTCTGAACCTGAGTGGCAGCTCCATATTGCTAACCAGTTTAATTATTAGTGCTAGCGAGCTGCAGTCTCAGGCTTGCATTTCACTGAGCTGTTCAGGATCAATACTGAGCCTTGACAGAGTTAATATTGCCAGCTTCCATTTGCTGGTGCTATTTACTGAGAATGTGAAGCTCCTAATTTACACACACACGGTTACATACAGGCACACGTGCACACAGAGCAGTCAATCCAACAGAAAACTTAAGGCTAGTGCCCTTATCTTAGGAGACAGTCAGGCGAGCCACAACTCCCACAAAGTTATTCCCAGTCTGTAATGTTTTCCATCTGCCAGAAACCAATATGTGACACACATTTCTTGTGAGCTATTTATTTTTGGGTAAAACTCATAAGGCTTAAATTCCACCTAAATTGAGATTTAAGCAGATTGTGTAAGTGCCAGAGAGCAATCAGATCCCATAGACTTCAATACTACCCAACCCATTACATGAAGCCCCACCAGCCATCTCTGTGGTGAGCCTCTAAGCCCTCCAGGTACCTCGATGCAAGAAATGTTCTCAGAAGGTAGGTCACAGCTTCCCACTTTAATGCCACCGTAGTCCAGTCACTGCCAGATAGCTCCCTGAACCTTGCCTGAAACCACGGGTGATGCTCAGAGCCATGAGGCATGTTGTTCATGTGTCTGCAGAAATACCTCCTGCGTGAGTCACTCAGGGGTAGGCAGAGTGGCTGGAGAACAAAACCAGGTAGCAGAAGAGCTGAGACAAAGGCATTTCTCTCCCTGAAGGGGAATGAAGAGCCTGCCTCTCCTGGGAGAGGTGGGAGAGGAAGGAGTCTTCCTGCACCCCTCTGTGTAAAGCTCACCAGTGTGCAACCAGGAGTGCAGGAGTCCTCAGATGAGGAAGTTGAAGTTGACCCCACAGGGTCTGCACTGCTGCTCTCTGGACAGCCGCTTTTTTTCTTTTTTTTTTTTTTCCAAACTTACTAGTGTTTTGAGAAGGGAATTCATTGGATAGACCTTTTTTTTTTATTGAAACACGTGTAAAAATACCAAGCTAAGTGATTAAAAGACATTTTAAAACTGAAAGAGTTTTTTTATATGAAAATATGAAAACATGGTTTATTACATCAGCTAGGGCAAAACTGCTGATTTTTAAAAAAATTTGTTAACATTTCATTTGGGTTTATGGTACTTAGAAAAAAGCAAAAATAAATGTTTCTGTGACATATTAAATGAATTTAATTTAACAGAAAATATTATTGAGAGACCTTTTCAGAAATTGGTCCAAACTGTGGTTTAATAGCCATTGTGTGTAGGCACATTAATTACTGACATCTTTCATCTTTTTGACCCTGTACATAAATTGATTGAATGTTTTAATTTGCTGAATGCTACTTTCTTATCTGTTTGTGACAACATGTTGCTCCCATCATAAAACTTCAGAGGTACTTAAGGTTTCCGTGTATATTCCTTATCTGTTAGCAAACCACAGTGATATATCATTTATGTTGTTTTGCAGAAAAACATGAAATGCTTTTACAAGAGGAACAGGTAGATTTTGTGTTTTCAGTGGCTTCTCATAAAGTGAGGGAGAGAAGGGAATCTCCTTTCGTTGGCTGTGTTTTAGAAGTGAGAAACAATTGGAGAAGGTTTTATCCAGTCGTACAGGCTTGACCTTGAGCTTTAGTTTATTGTTGCTTTGATGTTAATGTCAAGTGGATTTTAATCAACACATACTCTAGCCACGATATTTCAATAGTATCTTAAAGTGATATTCACCCGTAAGCAGACTGCCAGCCCAAGTTACGTAGCACTTATGTCCCCAGTCTGACTCTGAAAGAAAATAACTTTTGGGGAAATAAAAAGCTCTCAATAACCCAGTATCGGGCCAGCCGTTTTTTTTTTTTTTTTTTTTTTTTTGTTTTGCCATTCAGCACTTGTCTACTTCAGTAACTCAGAAAGTAGAGGTTTCCCACAGCACCACAAGTTCCACAAGAGGAGTCTTAACACCCTCTGCAATTATAACCTTAGGCCCTGACTCTGCAGTCTTGTCCAAGCTGACAAGACAGTCAGAGCAGCCCTTTCAGCTCTACAGGCTGGAAGTAAGGAAAGAAAAAACATTTAAGCACATGTATCTCCCTGTTCAGCACAGGTTATATATCTCTGTTTGTCAAAATCCCTTCAAACTCCAGATACTCTCCTGTCAAAAGGATACCATTGTTCTGGAGAGGGGTGGCATGGCTCATGTCCTTAGCTTATGAGGTCCCGAGTCAGTTCTGGTGAGAATGGGAGGGAAGAAGATTACATGTACATTTGATGTGGTGGTCAGAAGTTGTCCCATTGAACACACAAACAAAACAGCCAAAATGTTGGGATTTCTGCTATTGTCTTGCCACCATTCGCTAGTGAAAGCTGAGTTTTCTCTTGCCCTGCTCAGTCAAAAATGACTGGAAGCATTAGGAGGGATCCCATTAGCATCTTGGGCATTAAACAAGATAAATGTCTGCTGCTCCCTTCATTCTCACCTTTATCCAGCTCCACTGATCCATCAGGTTCCTCAGCATAGGGGTGAATTTCACCTGAAGAGAGTGAAGCCCTCAACATGACAGCAACACTGCAGCCAAAAATCCCGCTCTAAATGCAATGGGTGACTGGAGCTGGAAAGCTTTTGTATATTTGCTAATCAGCGTCTTCTTTTTAGAGGCAGAAAGTACAAAAGAATCTCTGCAAATAATTAAACACCCTAATTCTGGATTATCTCTGATTAATGAAGAGGAAGGCGCAGTATCTCAGGAGCCCGGGAATGCTGGGCTGCGATTATGTCATAATTGATCCCTATTGTTTCCAGCTAAAGTTTATCTATCTCATTTTCTCATGATTGTCTCCTCTCAGCTCCTTATAAATTAGATCCAACTATTAGCAACAATCGTTGTTCTTTTCCTGAAATACAGCCTGAGCACAGTGCTGAGGGAGCAATGCAAAGTGAAGGGCTCCTAACTACAAGCTAATTTCATATGTGTGCATTATTTTTAGAAGGGGTTATCTCTGCTTTCTTCAATCTCCATACCATCAGCCTGCACTGATGATTGTGGGGACCTTTAGGGCTCATACAAGTGGGGCTGCAGTTTTCACCCTGCATAGTATGGATCCATAAGGGTGTGTGGACCTTCTAAAGAGGCTACAAAGGCCATGAAGGAGAGCTGTCCCATTGTCAGGACTGACATCCCCTCTGCAGTGATCTTCCCCTTCAGGGAAACAACTAGGGTTTTGCAAATTGATGTAAAGCTCACAAGTCTTTGGTAGTAATAGAAGAGGATAGAAGCCAGAACTTCTCAGATCTCTCCCAATCTGTTCCAAACACCGCCCTAGCATATGGAAATTACTCTTCCTCTCTCTGAGTCAGTTTGCTTGTAGCTAAGAGTGTTAGCAGTACTTTCCCCCACTCTAGTGGTGCATGTGACCCTTTGAAGTGTTGATCATTTTTGCACTCTGGCACATATTCATAAATGCACCTTTCTGCCCTAAAACCTTATGTAAGAGCTCAGTATGAGATTCCTTACATGGCAATGCAGGCTGGAGAAGCGCTTGCCTACATGTCTCTAATGTCCAGAGGAGAACGCCTATGCAGGCAGTAGCACTGCAGCTATGAAAGACCAAGATTTAAATTTTGGTGATGGCAGTCCTCACATGTGGATCTCTCTCAGCCCTGTTTCTTCATCAGAAGCTCTCTCATACTTTGTCACACCCAAGCTTCTTGGAGCCAAAACAAGCTCTGAGCATTCTGTCATGGAGCTCTACCAGACAGGGACACAATAAGGTACCTTGTGGGTTTGGAGTAATCCGAATGCCTCTGTACAGCTGTCCTGTGGTTGCCTGTAACAAGTACATGCAGCTTCCTGGTAACTGTTACATAAGTCCTTACTCTTTCTGATAACACCAGAGGGAGGAGCATTTATCATTAAGTCCAGTAAAATAAAAAGAAATTCATTTCCACGCAATAAATTGTAAAATTTTGCAATGCTCTGCCATGAGAAACTGTAGAGGTCAAATCATAAGTGGATTCAAAATGTACTTGCCAAGTTCAGGTCTGTCAATGCCCCATAAAAGCAGCATGGGGTTTCTGCATGCACTTTTGCCTCAAGAGGTCCTCAGGCTGCTGATGACTGGAGTTTGGGAAGGAATAACCAGAAGCACGTTTGCTTGTTATGCTTTTTCCACAAGCATCTTTATTGGCTAGTTCTAAGGAGAGTATACTCAGCTAGGTGGACTTTCATGGTACCCATGCAACCTTTCTTACCTCTCTCCTTTTTCCTCTTCCAGGGTGTGCATTTGTGAAGTACTCATCTCACGCTGAGGCCCAAGCTGCCATCAATGCCTTGCATGGCAGCCAGACAATGCCGGTGAGTACCTCTGTGACATGGGCAAGTGAGGATCAGTCCAACCTTTGCCACCCTGTGCCCTGCTTGAGGAGGAGGGATGATTTATCTATGCTCTGCAACTCATCTTCCAGGAAGGATGTATAACAGCTCAGGCATGCAGGGCCTTGGGTGTGCTTAACTCATCAGTGGAAAGGCCAGGATGACACTGTCATTTCACACAGGCACAGAACCCTAAGGGATGCTATGTTCTGTCACCAGAAGTTTTGATGACCTGAAAAAAGATATATGGCTCTCAGATGCCAAAAACATTGGGTCATGCTCACCATGAGCGCAACCTTTCAAGTTTCAGAGCAATGAATCGAGTAGAAATTTCTGTCCAAGGGCTTCTTTGTTTTCCTTCCCCAAAGAGTCCCTGCCTGTAGATGAAGGATAAAGAACTTTTCACTAGCATTCAGCAGAGAGCAGCATGTTCATGTGATGGCACCAGAAGCTACAGACAAATCATGCAGTGATGGGCAGCATTCAGTACTAGTACAGAAGTGCCTACCTAGGCATAAATATGGTGACCTACATCTAGTTTTTGAAAGACAGACAGACCAGCTACTGAATCGTCTAGGAAACGTTTGAGGGATCATTCCATTTGGACAAATATCTAGTAATATGTGATTTTAAACCTGATAGTTCAAGGAAGTAGAAATGGAATTGGATTTTCTATGCAAAATTATATTTGTATACGATCACAGAGTCCCAGAGGAACGTAAGGCATTCCACTGTTGTCAATGGAAGACAATCTGGTCCAACATGTTTTGGTTTATTATGATAGTACATTATTTTTATTACTAATTATTCACAATGTAAATCATGGAAGGCTAAGAAGCATGCCAACAACTTGGAAACGATACAGAAAAGCTCAATAAAATATATTTAAGAATGTAAAATATTCCTTTCAGTAAGAGACTCTTATCTAAATTCATGAATTTATCCAAATAAGTTTAAAGTGGGCCTGCCAGATTGTCTCTAGGTCTTTGCAGAGACAAAAATGGAAAATTCTTTGCAAGGGAAAAGGTTTCTAAAAGTAGCAAATCATCAAGATCTCATTTTTTGGAACCCCATCTTACACAAATCAGATTAAAAATAGTACATTTACCAGTGACAGTATTGAAAAAAATCTCCTTACAGATGGGGGTCTCAACTATTTTAAGTATTACAATAGTTTTAGGAGTTTCTTCCTAAAAGATTCCTTCTAATAAAACCAGATGCTGGGCTTGATGCTGACACCCCATAGTGAAATACCATGGGCATTTTTCCTGAGACAAAAGAGGTACTTTTAATTATTTTCTTTCAAACTTTGACTCAGGGTGATAATATGTATAAAGTGACATCAGGAATTGCAGTTCCACAGGGTGTGGTACCACAAAAACATGCAGTAAAAATTCAGTTCCTGTCCCAAAAAACTTGCAAACTCAGGTAACAGAGGTGAGAGGAAGATGGGAGAGACTACCCAAGAAGAGTTGAAGATTTCATCTACATCTACTATACCCAAAGTACCCTCAGCCTTCCTATTTTCAGCACACTTTTGAAAAGAAAAAATGCTCATCTCCTGGCCACTTGGGAGCAAATTTCTGTTCCATCCTGCTGACATCAACTGAACTTAATACGTGTGAAACAATGAGGAATTTTGCCACTTCATCAGTCATTTTTTTATGGGACCATTTTTTCTGTCAATTTGTTTGGCTCAAATAGCTGTTCTAGAAATGTTCTTGAATCAGCAGCTGCAAAAGCATCACACTTTAGCTCTTACTAAACGCACATCCTAGATTCATACCTGAGTTCCCATGCCCTGATGTGTTTCCATGAATTGGCTGAGCCTCAGCAGCAGTCTATGTACCTACTCTTAGTTCACAGGAAAAACAAGTAGAAAATTATGAATTTCATGCTCTTCATCGTCAGCTAAGTTATGTGGTGCTGCCTTGTACCTCCCACGAGCGATGAGGTGGTCCACGGGCAGTTACCATGGCTCGGCAGACTAGTGAGGACCTGTCGAGTGACTTCCACTTGATCAAGACATGGATCACACACTGTTTTTTCCCCTACAGGGCCTGAAAATGCTTAAGGCGCTTTGAATGCGATGGGCCAAACCCTGCAAGTGGTCTCTGTCCCCATTCTCGTTTTCATGGTGCGCAGCTTCTTTCGGGCCTTGGATGTTGACAGAGAAATGCAGCCACCTGGTGGTGAGATGACGATGTAGCCCTCGTCCTTGGGAAGGAGGGGTGCACCGCTGCCATCTTCCTTCAGCCTCCCCCCCCCTCCCATTTCTCTCACCATTAGGACTGGCCTCATTTGTCCGGCTGCGATGCCAACTCAAAGTTGTTCCTGTGGTTCAGCCAATTTAAACGTCTCTTGCCTTGTCCTCGTGTACTACCAACGGGGCATCCATCATCATTCTTGTCAGGTCTCGAGCCGTTCGTTCCTGCGGCAGACTCCTGTTTCTCCACAGCTGTCAGGATTATTGCTCTACTGTGACTTCCTGTTCACACAACATATGTTGCCTAATAGTTTCAAAAGGCAACTTTCTTTTATGAAAGTTTTCTCCTTTTTTTCAATTTTTTTTATTAACCTTTCCTTGGACAGGTGCCTGACCACCGTCCATCACAAGACCACTTCTCTATGCAAGGCACTTGTTTCTCCTAAGGTCTACAACTTTCCAATTTTCGCACAATCAACTGAGAAATAACTTTCCCCAAATCCCTTACTTTTGAGCAGGCCAAAAGTTCCTTCTGTATCTACCTGCCAAGAGACCTTTTCTGGTTCTTTTAAAATATTTCCTGTCAACTCTTCAGCTTTACCATTGTGATTTGCTTGACCTCCATGTCCTCCTTTATGAGAGATCATAATTTTCACGTACTTTTGCATGTATTTATAATAATGATATACCCTGTACTTTCAGCTTTGGTTACACTGTCCTCTCCTGTGCCTCTTCCCCATCCATATGGTGACAGAAACAGGTCTCTTCCCTGGATTCTCTTCCTTTCTTCATCCAAGGCTTGTCCCTAGAAGCCTTATCCACCAACACAAATTCAGCTACTATTTCTATAGTGACAGCTTGCAGATCTAACTTCTCTACTGCAGCACTGACTCCTGTTCAAACTAAAATCTTGGCCTGTCTTTCCAGCATCTCCTACTGGATGTCTAGCTGTCAGATCAAGCTCAGTATGTATAAAGTGGAGCTCTTGAACTTTTCCTCCCAAATCCTGTCTCCTCTCTCCTCCGCCTCCATTCTCAATCACTGTGGACAACATTATCATCCTACTTGTCAGTCATGCTCCTACCTAGCCATCATCTTCAGCTTGGTTTTCTCCTTTTCTCCGTGTCTTCAAATCCAGGCCAAATCTTGAAGAGTAGCTCTGCACAATACATCTAACACATTTAAGATATGGCCTTGTCCATCCACCCACATGGAATAAACTCTGCTCCACACTTCATCCCCCATACCTAAATCACAGCAGCTTTTATCGTACTCAGAAAGTACACAGGGTTAAAAACTATACTACTGTTGCATCTTTTGCACCATCTCACCCACTGTGGCACCTCAGAACTTCTTTTGTTATGAATTAATTCCTGGAAGGGGTAAAACAGTGCTGCTATGTACATTTTCTGCACAGAGGTGAGAAGAAGTGAAGAGTGTGATTCATTTCAGTTAACTTTAACAGTCTAAAAGTTTGTAATCTATTTTAAACATCTAGAATTCCTACAGAAAAAAAGAAAGAGACATATTTCTAGAGATTTGTGCATACTACCCTTCATCTATCTTTGCTAGGATGTGCTAAATCACTTTCTGGGTACGCCTATCTCTTTCATTAATTATAATGGAGATCTCCATAATGGCGTTAGACTGAATACCTGTGGTGGGAATCATCTCACCTAATTTGAGACATCCAGAACCTATATAGCTATGTCTGAGGTTGTCATCTAAATCTTTGTCGTCTAGGCTTCTATTGTAATCAATAGAAGCCTAGACGACAAAGGCACCTCTCAAGAAACTTTATTTTACAGAAATAAACTTTGAAACCTGTCAAACTCAAACCCAAATAGAAATGTGCCTTTTAACTAATTTTAGGTGTCTGATTTCTATGGTCTCCCAGTTCCAAAATAGTAGTTCTTCACCTGAAGTGCAACTTAGAAGGGAAAAGGCTCATACTGCTGAAAAACAAAAGCAAAAATCACTTGCTTCCTGCAGATGTCTCAGAGCCTACAATTGCCTTTGCTCACCACTGATACCCTTGCCACCCCAAAATCCTTCTGGTGCACTTGGCACTGCCACAGTAATCTTGCTGGAGCTAAAGATCTAGGGTGACTCCATACCAGCTGACATTAGCAACCTACAAGTCAGATATTAAAGCTGTTCACGTGGCCTCTTGTCTGATGGTGACTCCTCCCACATAGCTGAGACACATAGTTCAAGATTGCCTGACTGTGCCGTGGAGCCATCTGCCTCCCCACTGAGTGTAGAAGGAGCTGCACTGAACTCCACATCCAATGCAAGGGGAGCTGAACCCTCTTCTGGGTGTTTGCTGCCCAACAAAAGCAATCTGGCATTCAAAGTCAGGCATCTTGCTTGGAGTCCTCTGACTCCTGATCTGTTACGTGTACTCTGAACGTGCCTAACACACTGTCAGCACTGTGCTCATTGTGTATCTTTCTTTATTAATGACATTTAAGACTGTTAAGACCTCCAGAAACCTGTAGGATGGCTTCGCCCACCACACAAGTCAACCCTTCTCTTGTTTTACTATAAAATTCCACATCAGCTGCATCAAACCACAGCATTTCTTCTGCGTTCAGGCAATAGCATCCCAAGTCTATCTCTGCCTGGCTGAACATCTTCCGTGAAAATTACTTTTCGGATGGAATCCTTGGTTTTGTGAAAAGAAAGGAAAATGTGAGACTTGGATACAAGCACTGAACAGATGTCTGCCTTTCAGAGAAAGATTCAACTTAGTTGAACCTCAAAAAAAAAAAGA